ATTAATCGCATACTTATCATATATTTTTTCTAATACTACCAAAAGAGGTTGTATTATAATTCAAATCAAACATATTATTCTACATATTTACTATTATAATCTCTTTAGTGATAAAATCAAGTTGTCATCAATATAATAAATACTGATTTACGATATTTTTATTAATTCAACATTAATACAATAAAATAATTCTCTAACCAAACAATCAATTAGATTAAATAACTACTAACCAACACTTATATTGTGTATGGTCAAATACTAGATAAAATTATAAATTATTCTAATACCTTATTTAATTTTATTTTTTGGTCTATCTATATTATATTAGACCTTATTATTTTATCTAAGCTATTAATTTTTAATATGACAGTCAATCGAGCCCATAATTAGTGTGAGTTTATTTTATATATAAGCTTAGTGACCCGTTGTCATCATTACCATGGATGTCTATGCCAGCAAAGGGTATTTGTTTCTAACATAAATTGGAAAACTCATGATTTTTGTCCAACACGTAAAGGACTTTGGATAAAAAAGCTTTTGACTTTTCAAAGTTAGGTTCCTTTCTCCATTACCATGGATGTCTATGCTAGCAAGGATATTTGTTTCTAGCAGTGTTATCATAATTGGATTGAATCAATCGGTTTGATCGGTTTAATCATCACCTAGAATCTCAATTGGTCTGGTTGACTTGTTAAATCGCATAAAGAAGGGAAACGAATAAAAACTGTCAAATCGGCCGATTAAGTCGGTCCATCTGTCGATTCAATGTCTGATACAATTCTAATAACATTAGCTTCTACCACAAATTAGAGAACTCATGTTTTTTGTCCAACACGTCAAGGACTTTGGGGAAAAAGATTTTTGACATTTCATAGCTATGAATTGATAAAACTTCGGTCTTCAGCGGCATGCGGAGTGATGACGTCCATGAGTTCTTCTTTCTGCCAAAAATTATTTGGTTTGCTCTATTTTGTGTTGGCCAAATATTTTCTACAATATTGAAATAGCGTGTGTGTGGTTGTTCTCTTATTGATTTGTTTTGAGAATTTTGTAATCTCTAATTTTTAATATTTAAATCTTATCGTTTTTAGACATAGATTTGTTTGTTGAGCCGAATCAAGTAAATTTTGTGTGTTCTATTTTTATTTTTTTCTTCTGTTTTTTTTGTCTTAACAATATATTTTTATAATCAACCACTATGAATAAATGATACGAAATTTACTTATCATGTCAGTTACAATATCATTTAACCTTATTTACGATCTTAGTTTTGATCATTGTTATCTTTTTATAATCAATCAAAACTATTTTTCCCAGCCATAAGCAAGGGGGTCACTTTTCTAATATTTGGTATTCTTGTTCTTGCTCATCTTTTACTGGTTTTTTTTTTGACCAGATCATCTTTTACTCGTTCAAACTCATATTGAATGAATGTAAAAAAGAAAAAGAAAAGTCAAATTCAATAAGAGTTTTCAATTTGACCGATGTTTTCTGATTGCTTAAGGGGGAAGATTCAATCAGTTACGGCACTCGATTAGTCATCACGTGCGACGTAATTTAAATATAATTTATCGTAAAAAGTAGAACAAGCGATAACAGATTATTTGAAGTGAAAAGATCACTATGTATTAAAAGCATAATGAACAAATAAAAAATGATAATAAAGACAAAATGAGTCGGACTCATAATCGAGCAGGACTAGTGATATTTGGTTTGGATTGGATTAACGATCAAAACTCATATCGTTTATGTCCTAAATGCCTTTTTTGACTGTTTAGAAAAAAATTAATAATTAATAATAAATCATTTGAGATTTCAAATTCATTATTATGTAATAAGTTTTAGTTGTTCACACAAGTGCATGTGGCGGGATGAATGAGAGTTATGTGATTTTTTTTTCCTGGGTATAACTGTAAGGGTGCCTAGACTTGCTTATGCATATTTTGATTAATTTTATCCACAGTTCGGTCAAAAATAGGTCATTCATATCGGAACTCAGATATTCATAAGAGATAAATTCATCAGGTCTAACCTTAAGAGTTACCAATATTCAAACTTAGAAAATCTAATTTTACAATTCATCTCTATTACCATTTGAAATACATTTGAATTAGGATTATGCAGTTTAGCTCTTCACGCATAATGACAAAGATCATTGTTACCCATTTTTAGTTTTTTGTTAATTATGTGGGATCAAATAAAATCGAATGTCATAATACTCATATTGATTAAAGGGCGTATCGCAATTAGCACTCTAAAAGATTCAAGATTTCTCATTTTTTATTCTTAAAAGTTAAAATTTTCATATTATATCTTGAATGTACTAAAAATGTTACAATATGACATTTCTATTAGTTTATGTTGTTTATAGTACTTTACAATGTGAAAAAAAAATTAATTTTTAAAGGTACAAAGTAAATTTTTTTTAATATTTTAAAAATTTTAAAATACAAAGTGTAATTCACCATTGATTAAATTAAAATTTTATTACAACATTCGAACTTAGGACATCAAAATAGTATACTCAAGTCATGCCATCATGTCATCTTAGGAATTTTCAGCATTCATTGTAATGCGAAAAATAACTTTTAAGAGACAAAAAAATAAATAAATAAAAGAAGCTTCAACAAAGATTAGATTTAACACAACTAATGGGGAATGACAGGTTGGGTCACCACCAAACGAATAATGTTTTTGATACCTAATTTGAGGATTTAATTAGAGAATCTAATGTATTATGATCATTAGATTAACAATATAAGGGTGAACATTCCATTAAATTCACTTTAAATCCAATTTCTACAATGAAAGTATTAAATCACCAAATTAGGTTAACAAATTATATTATTTTAACCAAAATGAGACATAATATAATGGTCCATGTAACATACGTACACTGCTCATCTTTAAATAAACAAGTTGGGAAATTGCTAAAAAATTCAAGTTTCCCAAACCCAAAAGACTAATCTAATTTCTTTATAACTCTTTAATTGAGGGTAACCCGTAAAATATTAAAACTCGGTAGTTATAATAAAACTATATCTTTAATTTAATAAATTAAATAAAAATAACATTAGTCTACATTTTATTAGTCCATTCTGCTAATTTATTGTCCATGGTTATGGTTGTGTGGCGATTTGGACCCTACGATTATATGACTTTAAAATTAGAGCCGTATCTGACCATCTGATTTGGATGTAAACAATTCATTTAAACCTCTTTCGTGGGCTATAAAACTGGACCTACTTCTTGCCGAGAGAGGGAGAGAGAGAGAGAGAGAGAGAGAATGGGTTCCATTACTTTGACAGAGAAGCCTCATGCCGTCTGCATACCATACCCAGCTCAAGGCCACATAAACCCCATGCTGAAGCTAGCAAAACTCCTCCATCACAAAGGCTTTCATATCACCTTTGTAAACACCGAGTTCAACCACAGACGCCTCCTGAAATCTGGAGGTCCTGATTCACTCAACGGCCTGTCATCGTTCCGATTCGAAACCATTCCCGATGGGCTTCCTCCATCAGATGATTCAGATCCTGATGCCACCCAAGACGTCATCGCTCTTTGTGAGTCCATCACTAACCACGGCTTGGCTCCATTCAGAGACCTCCTTTTCAAACTCAATGAAACCTCGTCGTCAAGGGTACCTCCTGTTACATGTATAATTTCTGACGCTGTCATGACCTTCACACTTGCAGCAGCCGAAGAACTGGGCATCCCTGAAGTTCTCTTCTGGCCCGCCAGTGCTTGTAGCTTCCTGGCTTTCATACAATATCAGAAACTCATCGAAGAGGGTTATACACCACTCAAAGGTATTACTTAACTACTAACCAACTTCATATGAACATCTGCATCGACATCCTTTACATTACGCTTTTATTTTTTCCGGAAAGTAAAATGTATTTATCATTGTAAAATTACATGTACTTGTAAAGAAACAATCTATTTATCAAACAGACCAAAAAACAAAAGAAGGGGACAAGCACCTGAATTGCTATAAGTTCTGCTTTGTGATAGAACTTATGGCAGTTCATAGCATTCATGATGGAAGATCAGAGTAGCGAGCATTAGACACAGAATTGTTCCAATGCTCGAGAAAAGTAATATTCCGGATGGATTGTTTGAAGTTGGCAGAAGTTTACTACTAATAACATGAAGGATGGACTTCAAAACGGTAGTTGCATCCCTGAATTCATTCTTGAAGACTCTGGCATTTCTTTCTCTCCAAATCATAGACAGAACTGAAAAGGCTGAGCTTGAGCACAATGGAATTGAGGGATCCCTTTCCACTGGGTGGAGGCTAAGTGGATAGCTGGTAACCAACAGAGGTGGAACCAAGAGGCCATAGAATGACTAAACAACTTGTTCCATATTTCACTTGTGAAAGGGTATTCAAAAAAAAAATGATTGATGCTTTCCTCTGTTAGTCTATAAAAGACACATGTCATATTAATGTTTTGCACATAAGTCTTGATTCGATCCTTCGTTCCAAGCTTCCCATGAATAGAAATCCAGAGAACGAAAGACATCCTAGGGATGTATTGAGGATACCATACAAGCATGTGCCAAGGAACCTTAGGACTACAGGTAATAAAAAGATTTCCATGTTGAATGAGATGTATAATGACCACTAGGATTAGGGAGCCATTAAATTCTATCAGTGTGCAAAGAGTTGGGATTATAGGATGACATAGAATTGATAATTTGCAGCAGCTCTGGAGTACCTAAAGAAGATCATTCTCAATAAGTACCATTAACAATGGTTTCTACCTTTGTGGTAGATGTCAGATTTGCAAGTTCAATTATTATCTTCGACCATTTAAGAAGAAGAGGCACATGCAAGTGCCAATTCTCATGGCACAAGTGTGTTGATTTACTTTACGCTTTTATTTAATTTTTCTTAATAGTAGGCTTCCTACCACGTATGCCCAAAGGATAACATAAAAATAGTGAGTTTTACTTTAATTTTAAAAAACGCTATCGAGAATAGCTTCCAAACGATGGAAGGTAATCAACCACCAAGAAATCTCCATCTTGTGCGTATATAATATACATCACACAATTACGTGGGTGTGTGTCTTTTTTTGTTACTCATTTTGTTGTGGCTCATATGTATGTCCCTTTAAATACTTACATTTATGTATGCGTGTTTGAAATGAATTTTGTTACATTGAATGTGAATCAAAAATAAATCTTGAAGACATTGTTTCACTAGTTTTATTTTAACGTTGGCATTTTAATTTTCTTGATGTGCAGATGCTAGTTACTTAACAAATGGATATTTAGAAACCGTCATAGATTGGATACCTAGTATGAAAGGTATACGTTTGAAGGATTTTCCAAGTTTCATAAGAACAACAGACCCAAATGATTTTATGTTGAAATTTATTATAAGTGAAACTGAAAAGGCTAAAAAGGCCTCTGCGATAATTTTGAACTCATTCGATGAACTAGAGCATGATGTTGTTGATACTCTTTCATCTATTCTTCCTCCAATTTATTTGGTCGGACCATTGCCTATTCTCCAAAATCATATCCAAAATAACGATTTGAAGTTGCTTGGATTAAATCTTTGGAAAGAAGAGTCTGAGTGTCTTCAATGGCTTGACACGAAAGAACATAAATCTGTGGTGTATGTGAATTTTGGAAGCTTCACTGTCATGACACCAAACCAAATGATTGAATTTGCTTGGGGGCTAGCTAATAGCAGTCAAAACTTTTTGTGGATAATAAGGTCTGATCTTGTTATTGGTGATTTGGCTGTTCTTCCACCTGAATTTGTGGACGAGATAAAAGATAGAGGCATGTTAGCAAGGTGGTGCCCACAAGAAAAAGTTCTCGGCCACCCGGCAATTGGAGGATTCTTAACTCACTGTGGGTGGAATTCAACTCTTGAAAGCATAAGTGCCGGAGTGCCAATGATTTGTTGGCCATTTTTTGCTGATCAACAGACCAATTGTTGGTTTTGCTGCAGTCAATGGGGCATTGGAATGGAGATAGAAAATGATGCTACGAGAAATAAAATTGAGAGCTTTGTGAGAGAGTTGATGAATGGAGAGAGAGGCAAAGAGATGAAGAATAAGGCATTGGATTGGAAGAAAAAGGCCGAAGAGGCCAATACAGGTGCAGCTTATGTGATTCTGGAGAAAATGATCAACCAAGTGCTTCTTTCTCAAAAAAATTAGAATTGTATGTCTTCTCTTAAGTATTGGGAACATGGTTTAGAGCTTTCAATCATCTCTGACGGTCATTTCATATTTGTAATAAAGGTTGAGATCAAAATTGTCCCTGTGGCAAATTGATAACTAGTTATATTTAAAAAGCACTAGAAGGGAAAAATAGAGTCTCTTTTTTAATATTTTAAAATAAATTTCGAGTCCGTTATATCATTCTTCATGGATTTTAATTTTTATAAATGAATATTCAATTACACTGTGATTCAATCTGAAGTTTCTTTATATGCACACATGACAAAATTAAGTATTTATTTGATGACATTGAATTGAACTTTAGATATAATTTTCTAAAATTCAACTTAATTGAGATATCCAGACATTCTAATCAGTGGTTAAATTCTTTCAAAGGGAGGGATTGGGTGTTTCACTTGTTTCTTTTGGAGGAAAAAAAAACAAAAAAGATATTGGATATGAGCAGATTTGTAAAAGCTTGCCTTTTTATCATGTTTCAATCAGATATAAATTGCATGAATAAAATTAATTCAATTTCCAGATCAAAATCTATACATTGAATTTAGATTCAGATTGGCCAAGATTTAATTTGTTGATAGCCTAAATATAGGAAGGTTTGAGGACACAAATTTGTTGACCGCCTTCCTTGTTCACACAATTTTCTTTGATCCAAGTTCCAATGTTGTCTCACTAGGCATGCTAAAATATTGTCGCTCCAAAATCTATTGTTATCAACAGAGGAGACTCAATCGATAAACACTTTTCTGGCGATTACTAGTGATGGGTTCAATTGCCTGGTTTTAAGACTTTATAGATTAAATTTAAAGCAGTACGCACACAGAATCGTGAATTAATAAAAAAGAATCTATTTATTTATTCAATCGAATGGTTTTTAGTTATAAAAAGACTGAATTAATAACCTTGATTATAGCAGTAACTACTTACTAAAAACTAACCTAACACTACTCTTAAAAATGCCTATATCATGGGTCTTGTGAGGGTTTAAATGTATCGTTCAACTTCCTCCTTTTCTATTTTTTATAGCCACTATTTTTCGATGATTATTTAACTTGTAACTACCAAACAGTTATACTTTTTTTTCAAATAAAACTATGTTTGACTATCTCCCACCTTTTCTCAGATTTTGCAACGTGGCCCCCAATTCGCAAGGTGTCGGTGTATCGAACATTCTCATAATTTTACATTTTTAGGTCCAAACGCTATTCTAGAAGATTGCAATCACACTTAGCTTGGAGTTGATGTTCTTGATTCTTCTCCTTATCTCCCCCCCCCTCAAGGTGAGGGCGACGGGAACCGACACACCCAGCTTGAATGCAAAATCAGTGAACAAATGGTTAGGTAGACTTTTTGTGAAGATGTCGGCAAGTTGTTCAGTAGAAAGAACATAACTAACAAACAGCAACCTCGAAACAACTTTCTCTTGAACAAAATGGTAGTCGAGTTCAATATGTTTGGTTCAAGCATGGAAAATTGGATTAGAATCCATAGAAACAGCACTATTGTTGTCACAAAATAACTAAGGGAGTTGAGTCAAGGTGACATTTAAATCTTGAAGAAGATATGTAATCCAAGTCATGTCAGTCGTGGCATGGGCAAGTGCACGATATTCAGCCTCAGCACTCGAACAACCAATATTAGGTTGTTTCTTTGAACTCCAAGAAACACAGTTGGTACCAAGGAAAATAGCCTAACCTGTAATAGACCGTCTAGTGTCTGGACACCTTGCCCAATCGGCATCGCTATAGCCTATTAACTCAAGTGAATGTCCCCTTGATATATCGAAGAATACGTTTAATAGCGCCTAGGTGAGCAAGAATGGGCGAATGCATATGTTGACAAACAGAGTTTACGCTAAATGCAGTTCAATATTGCAAGGCACCCATAATACTCCTAAAGGTTGTTGGATTAGCAAGGGGAATACCAACTGCATAAAGTTTTTGATGGACATTCAGGGGGTAGCAAGGGGTTTACAATCCACCATCGAAGCACAAGGAAGAAAATCGTGGGCATACTTGACTTGAGAGAGAAACAGTCCATGAAATGATGAATAGGCCTCGATGCCCAAAAAATAGTGTAGCGTCCCAAGGTCCTTTATAGAGAACTCAAAGCCGAGCTGGGTGATAGTGCTATGCAAAAGAGTTTCACCATTGCTGGTGATGATCATATCATCGATGTAAAGAAGAATAACAACAATGTGATTACGATCGTGAAGGGTGAACATGTAGTTGTCGGCAACATTTTGATGAAAGCCCAAAGTATATAAATGATGATTAAACCGATCAAACCAAGCTCTTGGGCTTGGCGCAAACCTTAAAGGGCATGGTGAAGTCGACATACATGGGGGGAAATTGAGCATCCACAAAACCGAGAGAGCCATGCAAGAATGCATTCTTCACGTCTAATTGATGATTTTTCCAGCCGCGTGTAATAGCGACAATGAGAACTATAAAAGTAGTAGTAGCTTTCACCACTAGAGTAAAGGTTTCATCAAAATCAATGCCATGGAGTTGGGAGTAGCCTTTGGCCACCAATCGGGCTTTGTATCGTTCAGAAGGTAAGAACTTGGTTTTGTAGACTCATTTAGTGTTATTAACATAAATGTCTGAATATCGGGGAACCAAACTCCATGTTCCACTGCTGTGGAGAGCCGCTAATTCCTTCTCCATGGCAGTTCGCCACTGACTGAAGGTTTGTCAAGTCGACATTATTTTCAATGGTAGCAAGCAGATATGAATGTGAAGAAGACAAAGCGGAAGAAACCAAGGAGCAAATTGGGTAAGGAGTGTGACGGGATTTACTGCGGGTTATCATTGGATGGGTGGAAACACTAGTATCTGTGCTATTATGATTTGGCAAAGAGGGAGGAATGGGAAGAACAATTTCAAGGTGCCACCTTGGGGAAAAGATGCCGAACCAGAAGAAGGAAGGTGGGAACTAGAATCTGCTAACGAAGAACCTGAACCTGATGGGCCAAGATGGCCGCTAAATGGGGTCGATGCAACAATTACTAGTGAAGTAATAGAAGATGGAGGAAGCTTTGTCAAAAGACGAAGAGTTTGGTTGCAATTCATCAGGAGAAATCCACCGAGGAAAATCGGTATATCATAGATATTCACCATAAAAAATAGGTGGCATGTGCAAGACGTCACGAGAGCGACAAGGGAAAATCATTTCATTGAATACGACGTGACGAGAAATATATACTCTGCCTCAAATTAGTACACTAAAATCTGTTGAAATGTCCAACTTAAATTGAAAAATACGATGGCTGGTTGTCAACCAGATGATATAGCTTTGGTGTGAATAATAGATCGGGGTGAATGAACATGGAATAACTGCATGTGAATTTTTTATTTTGCTTCTTCTGTTTTTTTTTTATTGGGGGAATTTTTTCTTTATTTTTTAACTGTATTTTTTTTTTCTAATGATTTGAAATCACCGTCTTGTCAAAAGTCTTGAGTCTTCAAGAAGTGCTTTTCAGCAATCCTTCTCATAACGAGGATCGATAACAATTAGAGGTGTCAATTTTATCTATTAACATAGGCTCCACACAAAATTTAAAAATAATACGATTAATTGATATAAATAATAAATATGTCAAATTAACGTTTGACACAAATAATAAATGTGTCAAATTAAGATTTGACATGAATAATAAGATTAACAAGTATTATAGATAGAAAATAAATATTTAATAAGTATTGTAGACAAAAAATAAGAATTTTTTAATTTTTTAAATAGTATTATATGAACTGTTATGAAATTAAATAATTTTTTATTGACACGAATATTCACACAAACTCGACATGTATCAAAAGTAACCTGACACAAAAATAACATAGAACAAAAATGACTCAACATGATACGATTGACACCCTACAGTAGCCTTCAAAGGCCTTTATTATACGCAGGAGGGATTTGAACCACCATATTGTGTCTCGGGCTAAATGGCCTGAAGAAAATTCTACCACGGTCAACACTTTAAGCAGAACAACAACCTTATTTGTATAGATAAATCGAGTCAGATCCAAATAGTCGGAGACAAGAAGAACAAGAGAATGGACTGCAATAAGGACT